TGACGTGTGTGAAGAAAATGCAAACTGCCGTACTGGAAAGCATAGTATGTAAAAATTCTATCAGAGCACTTACATACACATCTGTAAGGGTACATGGTCCATCAGTCAAGCTTTCTTGGGTGTTAAGCAACAAAATTTGCCTCTAATATTAGAAGAAAGGAATTTACTAGAGGGATGGAGGTGATCTCACAGAATTGAAGGCCTGGGCACAGGTCCAAAGGAGCAAGCAGCAAGATCCTATGGGCTTCACTGTGGGAACTGAAGTTGCTCTAGAAGGGAAACAGTCGAAGCATTTATTCTATCCTTTGGTTGTTCTGATTAATCTACAGTGATCCAGGAGAGAGTCCAGGGTCCAGTTGGCCTGGCTCTGTTCATGCACCCAGTCCTTGGCTGGGGGAAAGGAGGACGCTTTATTTCACAGGTCCCCAAGGATTGTACCCAACAGGGGAGAGAGAACATCGCTCACCCCCACCAAAATACTGCTCCCAAAAGTAGGAGTTGTGCACTGGGCAGCTAGACAACCGTAAACCTCCAGCACACTCACTGCACACATTAACTCTGGTGCCCTCTGGGGAGGAGGGAATTTTTAACACTGTATGATGATGTGGTGAGTATGTGCCAAAACAAAACAAAACAAAACAAAACACCAAACAAACCTTTGTTCCAAATACACAGGAAAAATGGGCACACTACAAAAAGAGAAAACAAATAAAAATAAATAAAATAGCAAAACCTCCTTGGACCAGAAATCAAAATGATGCTACCAGGTGACTCTGGGATGGGGTACAAATGTTCCCACTCCCCCTTGGTATTAATTACCAGGTGCAATCATATACCCGGATTTAGTCTGAGATCCTGGAGCTCCTAAGGGAGGCAACCAGCAGATCACCAGAGAGGATGGAAGAGGGAAACAAACAAACAAAGAAAAAAACCCCATGAGCTTGCATACCAAAACTCCAAAACACACAAGGAAACTCAATGCTAAGAAAGATAGCCAACAAAATCAGAACAAGAATTCATTCCACAAAAGCCTGGAAAGTATAGGATAAAATGAAATCGCTTGAGAATGTTTAAAGAGATAAATGGACGTTATACTTCCATTAAAAAAAAAAAAAGAACTACAAAGTATGTAATATTTAAAATTCAATAAAAAGAGTAAGCTAGATACAGTGAAAGTAAACAAGTGAATTGGAAGACAACACTGCGGAAATCAATCATGTCCTCTCCTCCCCGCTCACACACACGTCTGACAGGCATCTCAAGACTTCTTAGCCAAGGAGCCCTACCTTCCAATCACATCTCAATTAGGAGAACCAAAACAGGTCAGAGCAGAGCCACTTTGGCTGAAGTGGAAGTGGGAGGACTTATCTGTCATTAAATGAGCTAATATTAGGTTAAAGTTTAGTGACTTTCTTTCTGTTGCGCTCTTGGACAACCGCTATACAATCTTGCTTTTTTTTTTTTTTTTTTTTAAGATTTTACTTATTTATTTGAGAGAGAGAGAAAGCACAGGCAGGGAGAGTGGCAGGCAGAGAGAGAAGCAGTCTCCCCGCTGAGCAAGGAACCCGATGTGGGGCTCAATCCCAGGACCCTGGGATCATGACCTGAGCTAAAGGCAGCCGCTTAACCGACTGAGGCACCCAGGCACCCCAATCTTGCATTTTTAAAAACATATAAATACCTCAAACTAAATAAGCACGCTAAAGACAGAAGCTGCCTTTATTCTCCTAACCAAGCCCTTGACAAATATTTGATCATGGTTATGCCTTAATGAATTACAATATAAGGGAATTCACTTCAATCAGACTAGCTAAAAACTAAAATAAGGTTCATACTTTATATGGTGCATACTTCCATTATTATGGAAACAACAGCTCCTTATATAAAGACTTTTTTTCTTTTTTCAGAAAGTAAAGTTCTTGTTCCCTTCTAGTAAAATAGTATTTTTCCAAGGTCAACTCCATTCTGTTGTTATAGAACCAGAACTGTTTTTAGTATTGAAGTAGATTCAACTCAAGAAGAAAAGGTACAAAATAAATCCAAATTAGGTAGAATTTTACACACTAAATTTAAGAGCAGTAATTAATGAAACAGTAAAAACACTGCTCAATACTACTAAAGCCTAGTTAAAAAAAAAAAAAAAGATAGACCTTTGGCAATCTAATCAAGGATAACTCCCTGCTTCATGCCAAAGAAAATATTAAGATGAAAAAGTGGTCACATCTCAGAAGATTTTACATATATATGATATCCAGTATTTAGTATGTGTGTATATATATATTACATATTATATAACATATACACACACTAATACTAAATACAACAGATAGCTGGACAGACAAGTAATTTTTTTTAAATCTAGGAAAACTGGCTGGTTTTCCCCCAAAATATAAATTTAATAAAAAAGTAGAGAACACAAACAGGCTATAACTAAAGAAGAAACTGTTAAGGGCAGGAGGAAAAAAAAAAAAAACCCACTTGAAAATACGCACACAGTTTTATAAGAGCGCTTATCAAACCGTCAACAAACAGAGGATACTAACATTATAAACACTGTTCCATATGATAGAAAAACCTGAAAGGCTAACTCAACTGACTTTATAAGGCTATCCTAATGGTCTCTAAAACTAGACATAAATAGCAGAAGAAAACTAAGTCAATCTGATTTATGAATATACATAATAAATCTTAAATGAATCAGCCAATCACTATCAAAAGAACACTAATAGGTTTTATACCAATTATTGAAAGGTAATTCAACATTAGAAAATATATCAGCATCGTTCAGTCCATTAAAATTAACAGATAAGTGAAAAACTATGATTGTTTTCTAACTCCTCAAAAAGTCACTGAATAAATTTCACACCTATCCCTTGAGGCTGGAGTGGAGCTGGTTGGGGAAGAGGTCTTTTAGCAAATCAAGAAGAAAAAGAAATTTCCTTAATTTGGTAAGGGTCATCTACTGGAATCCCCAGCAGCCATCATACGATTTCCCATTACAGTCATAAAGAAACAAGGATGCCTACAATTGTTATTAGTTACTGAAATAAGACAAGATAAAGAAAAAGCTGTTATTAAAAATTAGAAAAATGCACTTGCAGATATGATCAACTAGAAAATCCCGGACACTTAAAATAACAAAATATTTTGACTAACTGAATTCAGCAGAGTAGCTACAGATGAGATCAATAAACAAAAATTAACTGCTTATTACTGAAGAAGATATGTAAGGAAAATGGGAATAATAAAAAAACCTCTTAAGTAGTTTTTTAAATGTAAGAGTATACCTTAAAAAATATACAGTATGTAAATGAAAAAACTCATTTTACTGGAAGATGTAAAACTTCTGAAAAAATGGAGATACGCTCTGTATTCTGGATAGAAAGACTTCCTATTTTTAAAACATTAATCCTTCCCACACATTAATCTAGAAAATCAATCCAACACTGTTCAAAATCCCAAGGGGACTTTTCTGGCACTTGGTAAGATGATTCTATGCTATTAAAATAGCAAAAGAATACATGGCAGATTTTTTTTTAATTGAGAAGAAACAAACGGGCAACTGACCTATCACATATCATAATATAAAGTTCCATGATTTCTCTCTTACTGGTAACTTGTGATTGTGTAATACTCCTGGGTGTCACTTACTGTGACACAGATCACCGGAGCAGGTGGGATAGGAACAATTTTACCAGAAGGAAAAAGAGTTTTTTGGAGGCGCATTACATGTGAGGTGGCCATCACACCTCCAAGTGGAGGCGCGAACAGACAGCTGGATGTGCAAATCTGGGCTTACGGGAGAAATGTGGGCTGCAGAGAGACACACTTGAAACCGTGGGACGGACTTTTACTAAACTTTGTTTTCTTCCTGTGACATTACATAGTTTAGCTTTGCACATATGCAAGTAAGTTTCAGAAGCTCACTTATCCCATCTGCATTTTTGTTTTTGGTCTGAGCAGGTAAGATGTATACTTGGACCAGTTTAGTGGAGGATTAGACAAATTAATTTCTGCACTTCTTTTATTATTCCTGTACTAATACTACTTTCCTCATTATTTCAAAATACATTTCTTTCATTTCCCTTTAAAATCTGTAAAAAAAATATCCTCTCCATTATCAGGATGGTTCCTTCATTCTCTCTGAACACATCACAAATACCACCCTACCCTGGCTTCTGATTTACGAAGGCTGTGCCCCACTGTGCCCCACTGTGGCTTCACAGCTACCCTGATCTCTATCTACCCCATTCTGCAAGGGCTCAAGCGCTTCAACCTATTCTCTCTTCCTCTTATCTCCAACACACACTTGCATGGTCTTAATCATATGCTCTCTTGCATGTTAAACATTTCAAATCCATTTCTCAAACTATATAAACTAAGAGATTGTATTTGAATAAATTTCTACTCAGGAACAACAAAATAACGCAATGTTCCTCATATGTACACTTTGCTTCCTACCCCCAAAATACACAACCCAAATTTAAAATGCAAAGGAGTCATATCCAAATCTGAATTAACAGGACTCCACCGCCAGCCTAGAGTACCAAACCAGTCAACATGTGAAACAGAATGAGGCCAGCTACGAAGAGAAAGAGCCCAGGCACAAAGGGCAGTGACGCTCCACCAGGGCTAGTGAGACAGCCTGCCCACGGGTCACCCGAGTCCTATCCAGGGCAGCACATCCCGCCCACCCAGACCAGCGGCTGCGGGATTTAGGGGTGTCAGCCCAGGAAGGGCCAGCCAGGCCTGGGGGAAAAGCTGGACCTCGTCTTCCATTGAGTCCCATAATTGTCCTCATTTGGCACGGAGCAGAAACTCGGCTTACGGTAACCCGTCTGTGACCCCGAACCACGGGGGCAGAGCGAGAACCCCCCGAGTATACATGCAGACACACATGCACACGCATGCACACGAGCACACACACTCCAGACAACATAGCCAAGCAGGCCATACAGAACCGTATTAGACTGTGAAACAATCTGATGAGGAAACTAGGATCGTTGCCACCGCCATTTATTTGTCTAGTTCGTAACTAAGGAGAGAACACTATAGCAGCGCTAGGAATGCGAAGAAGTCCCTGCCCTTAAGGGGCTTACAATCTTAGGGAAGTAGAACAGGCACATTAAAAAAAAAACGGTAAGAAAGCACATGCTAACAAATGCCGCAAGAATTCGGAAGGCAGCGTAGATTAAGAACACAGAATTAGGAATCACAAAACCCAGTTTAGTCCCAACCTAATAAGTCAGTTAACTTCTCTGGGTTTAGTAGCCCAGCTGCAAAATGAAGTAGTGAGATTTAGAGGCTGTAAGCATCTGTTTGCATCATGATTTCGATCAAAAGCTGAGCCAAGGTTTACGGAGGTGGCACCTGAGCTGGACACTGAAGGAAGACAGAGAAGGCATTTCAGACAAGGAAAGCGGTACTGAGGTAGGCGTAAGCGTGCGGTCTGGCGGGGAGAAGACACAAGCGACAACGGGAGTGAGGCAACGGGTGGCTGTGTCAGCCCTTCGGCACTACCAACACAGGAATGAACTGTATTCCCCACATTTACATCCAGTCAGTTACAGTACATAATTCCAGAGAGTAGAAAACACCAGAGAACAATGGCGGCATTTTATCAAACATTGCACTCAATTTCCAGAAAATATAAAATGATCTTAACATTATACCTCTACATTTAAAATTGGTATCAACAAACTGTTCCAACTGTCAAAATGTAAACCAAAGTTTACTTTCTTAGTAAACATAATTAAGTCTCTTAATTCAAAAGGACATTTGATACAAATTATATTATCTCGACAATTCCAACATTTATTTTCTACCATGTTCCATGCACTGTGGAAATAAAAAAAGTACGACAAGTTCCCTGCCCTTGAAAGAGCCCGCAGCCTGGCAGGTGAGACAAACAACTATGCCTACCTAGAATGCACTAGGACGCATGGCATGACCAAGGTATGAACATACGGCTATGGAGTAAAAGATGGATTCACACCCTTCTGCAGAAGTTTCAGCAAGAACTCAGAGAGGTTGTTGGCTCAGGAGAAAGGAGTCTGGCAGGGAGAGAGTCTGTGGGGAGGAGAGGGCTTCCAGGCGGAGGGCACATGGCTACAGACAGGGAATCGTGTAGGAGCGTGGCGTGGCCAGGGCCTACCATGGTTACAGTGTGGCCAGAGCAGAGCGTACAGGGCAACAGCTAGTGATATGGAAGCCTGGACTCAGTCCTATAGCCACGGGGAGCTACTGCTTGCTATGCCTTACCTGCCTGCTAACCCTGGTTTGCAAGGTCGGGAAGGGACAGGAAAGAAAGGGAGCAGTGAGGTTCTGTCTGGGGCATAAGCAGTCCTTGTGTAAGCTCTTTGCAGCAAATTACACTGTTTGGGAAACTCCCCCCCTCTCCCCATCACCTCTCTTTTCCCTTAATGATCTGTGAGTCTTCAACATGGAGCTGCATTGCCACTGGACTGGAAAGGCACAGGGGAGGAGAGCAAACAAACAAGACCGGAAACGCACACCTATGGCTAATCAACTTACCATAAGGTAACAGTCACTGTATTGTAGCAAGGTCTGTAGACAAAGAAAATGAAATTCCTTTTTAGGAGTTTTCTAAAACTGCCTAAGTCACACCAAAGCGTCGGAAAATCTCATTCAATGTGGGAAAAGTATAGAGAACCCTTGCAGAAGACTGCATTTCCTAAACTCTTTTCCATTAAATATCACTGTTATAGCACAACACCATGGGCATTCAAAGCCTGCCTTCACACAATTGATATTAAGTCTCATAATTCATCAATACTGAATCACACAATTGCATTGTTTGGCTTAAAAAAAAAAAGATACAATGTGTAATTCCAAGTCTTAGGTTCTCAGCTAGTACTAAAACATCTCAATGCATGAATAAATTGCCTAGTGAAGAACATGCAGCAAAAGGCAGATGCAAATAAACTCATCACTTTAGGGTAGGATTCCAATTCCTAAATTCCAATTTCTCATAATAATATTATAGAATCAAGTCTATAAAAGTAATACCTTCTTGAAATTTTGTTTTATAAGGAAGAAAATAAATCTGTATATTTTATTTAACATTCGTTCTTAAGTTACAGTTATGCCAAAACAATCAGCATCTAATGAGCGAAACCTTAGTATAATCCTACAAACACGCATATACATTTAGAAGGATCTTCTACATTTCTAAATAAATTACATGCCTGATACATATTAACCAATAAAGAATACCAATATGAGAATTCAGGACATTTATTTTTCTGCATGGAGATTTAACTACTGTACAACACACACACACACAAAACAAACCCACAAAGCAATGGTGTGTAATAGGTAGTGAGAGACACTTAAAATAAGCATACTGAAAACGCCTACAAACAGGCTTTTTTTTTTTTTTTTTTTTTTTAGGCAACAAAATATTTTCAGTCCTTGACACCTTCTCACACTCACCTAGCACCACAGATGCAAGGACTTACAGTAAACGTGTACAATCTCATGCTTAAAACCTAAAGCATGCACTGAATAGAATTTATACATTATGATCTACTCTCTTAAGTATGCAGTACATACTTCTAATATTTTATACATTAAATTACCCTGCAGCATTTTTGGAAACTTTATGCAAAACAACTTTTGAAAGACTTATGCAACAAGCTCTCAAGGATCACCTGCAGGCTGTTCACACAGGCACTGGTTTGGTTAAGTGGGAGAAGGCAGCAGCCTCAAGGTTCATACTGAATGAAAATGGTGTCTGTGCATGTCAATCCACGTAAAAAATACATATGTACATAGATGGCACAAAGATTTGTGCAGCTGGAATCACCAGTGCAAATGCATGCATTTGAGGTACTTATTTTTTCCATGGTCAGGTATAATTATGCATAGTCATGTTCCCCAAGTGCTAAATGTTTCAGACCTGATCAAATGAAAGCTGTAAGAACTGTAAATATATCTGTATAGTTAATTTCAAAGCACTATGCTTTTAATGAACATCTGTTTAACATTATATGTTTATATATTTAGTTTAAGAGGTTTGTCAACCAACAAATTTTCTCATTGTAAAGAGACTGACTGGTAATTATACCTGGCCAAGTGATTTAAATAGCATACGTGATTCTAGCAGGAACTGTAGTTAAAGAGTAAAATACTTCATTATTGCTTCATTGGACTGAGAAACCTAGAAGGCATAGATAAACGATGCTCGATGATGAAAAGTCAATACCCAGAACAGCGGTGCATGCCCCCAGATGGCCTCTGCCCAATACAAACTAAGCACTCTCCACGTTATCAATGCCGTTGGCATCCACATGGATACCAGGCTCCCCACACAAAGACGAGGGAACAAAGCGGCTAACGGTGGGACACAAACAGCTCTTAAGCTCTGGCAATTCTTGCTTCAGGCGTTCCAACTGCTCCACTTGGAATATATTTGGCTGTTCCGGCATCCAATCATATATCCTATGATGAAACAAACACAAAACACATAAAATAGTGTAATTTTATGGTTTACTGAAGACCTGTCTGACTTAACCTTTTCCGGGCAATCTGATTACAGAATGACTGGAACATCCATCGTACAACAGCCCCCTTCCCTTTTTGAAAGATGTAAGTATCAGTTCAATTTAAAAATACTTCTTCTTGGGCGCCTGGGTGGCTCAGTTGGTTAAGCAACTGCCTTCGGCTCAGGTCATGATCCTGGAGTCCCTGGATCGAGTCCCGCATCGGGCTC